TTTCAGCAGAGCTTCCACACTAAGTAACCCATGAAAGCTCCCGGGATGACAGCAGAACAGAACAGCGCTCCCGGCTAGAAGGCACTCAACAGACCATGGCAGCGGAGGGGCCTGCTGGGCAAAGGGCAGCGCGCGCGCGGTCCCACAGCGATGAGCGCCAGCGAGGTTCCTCCTTTAACAAAGCGAAGACCCCAGAGGCCCCAGCTCTGAGCCCTTTCCTTTCTCATAAGCTGATCACCCTTGCTGGGCAGTGCTCATGAGGATGGCAGCCAGGAAGGCTGGGGAAGGAAGACGCATCTCTGGCGCCTCTAAGGGACTGGGTGAGGGACGAGGGGAGACCTCTCAGGCCGGGGCAGGCCTCCAGCCCTGGTCTGTCGACCCGTCCACCAGGCTCTCCACGCCCCCTTCACCCGCAGTCTGCCCACTGCAGAGCGGGCTCGGACCCAGCCCTGCCCTCTCCCCACCCTCTGCTCCTGACTTGGGCCGTGGCTTTCTTTGCCTCTAGGCCTTGCAAGCAGCTACTCGTCCAGCTCAATGAGAGTTCCTTCACTGGGGCCTGAGCATGAGCATTCTTTTTGGATTCCACCAAGATGGTGGCTTTGAGGGACTTAGATGGCAAAGCCCTGGCTGGCCATCCAGTGTAATGTCTGAGGTCTTATAGGACAGACAGACAGACACACACACACACCCCTGAGGCTCCAGGGGCCTCCCCACCCACCCTGCACTAGAGAGTGGTTGTGAAAGGCACAACGTGTTACCACAAGCCAAGGCGCCATCAGACTTCACTTGTGGCTAGATCTGGGTAGAGAATTGAGGTGATGTCATTTCATCTAATTAACCGAGAGTTAATTAGTATTTCCCAAGTGGAGGGGAAGGGAAGGAGGAGCTGGGGGTCCTGGCTGAGAGGGGCAGGCAGGACCAATGGCCCTCGCTTCTGGCTGCAGAGGCCCTTAGGAGACATTCAAACAGCCTACAACCTCCCAGGCCCACGAGGCCTACCCTTGCTCCTTCCTTCCCACAGGACGCCGAGCCAGGGAGCGAGCTGGCCAGCAGCTCACCGTGAGGGTGGCTGTAAGAGCGCTTCTTCCACCTATGGGCGTTTCTTCTAGAAAGAGCTCACAACTCATCTCAGCCGCTCTGAGCAGCGTGTGACTGGCCTAGGTGGCCCGCCAGCCTTCCTCTACCAGTTGTAAACGGTGGAGATGAGGCGGCAGGAGGTGACCCATTTGGGTCAGCCCTGTTCCCAGGCAGTCCCAGGCCAACTTAGAGGCTTGGCACTTGGCTTTTACAGTGGGTCATACCTGTTTCCTCTTCATTGCTGGGTTCACATGCTGATGAGCTGACTAGCCCCCAAGGCAGCTGCTCCCTCAGCTCAATGAAGCTCTCTCAGGAGGGTGTGGAGAGGCAAGCCCAGGGCATCCAATGCAAAGTCAGAGGTTTGGCCCCAGGTCCTGCCTGCTGGGCATCCTATATTCAGTGGGGGCATTTGGGGCAGGAACAGGGGAGCCCCAAAGATGGGACTGTGGAAACTTCACCTCTCCAGGCTATCAGCCCAGGTGAGTGTTGTGGGAAACATGGGGCCTCAGGTACTTCTGGTGGCATGAGCAGAGTGTCCTGGCTTGGTCCCTCTCTGACACTGAGGCCCCTCTAACAAAGCACAAAGGGTGTGGTGAAAAGGTGCATGTCCCTCTCCTGGGCTCTAGGTGCATGTAGGTCAGGCTGAGGCCTCAGTACCAGACCAAGGTGCCCTGGTGCCAGGACAGGCCCTTATCAGCACCCTGGAAGCCAGCACCACTTTGCGGCGACATCTGGGGCCCAGAGAAACCCAGAGTCTGGTCTTGGCCTTCAGACATACCGGCATTTCAGGGCCAGGGGTTTGGGAAGGGGCACTCTTCCAACAGGCTTCATAGTTGATGCCAAACAAGCCCAGTAAGTGACACAGTGGGTCCCACTGAGGCCAGTCAGTGTGCTGGCTGCTCGCAGCAGCTCAGCAAGGCTGCCCCACCTTGGCTTTGTTGGCAAGTGGACCTGTGAGCACTTGCCTGCCTTTTTTGCCCCGACTGGCAGGAACCCAGCCCTGGAGATGGGCCGTGAGCCTGTTTGTTCCCAGAGCACAGGGCTCCTGTTCTGTTCCCTCTGAGGGCCCTGGCCTTCCTGCCGAAGCCTGGTTCTGACAGGTCCTCCTGAAAAACCAGCCCAGGCGCCAGGCTTTCTCCTCTCCCTGCAGGCCCTGCTTCTGGCCTCTCCCATACTAGGAGGTAGGCTGCAGGACAGGACAAAGGCTGAGAAGATCATCTTCCTCTCTCCCTTCTTCCTCTACCATGCTGCTCCAGAAAAGTTCTCTGGGTAAAACTGGTGAGAGGCTCTGACTTGGGTCCAACACCTTCTGCATCACTAATCCAAAATCAATGACTGGAACAGACTGATGGCAGGCGGGTACATGCTGGTAATAGAAGATTCTGCTATCTCCCAACTTCCCCTTCTACCCACCCGCTCGTGTCCTTTGAGGCCCTCATAGTGGAGAGTCCACGCTCAGATTGCTTCCCCCTATGACATCACCCAGTGTGCGCTGCTAGGACCTAGCAAGGTGATATGGTCTGTGCACCAGGGACCCACGGCCACTTCCAGCCCGGCTCTGCTAGGCTGGTGCCCTGGGCAGGCTACTTCTCTGGGGCTCCCCCTGCGAGCCAACGTGAGTATAGCAGCTCTCTTCTCCAGAGTCTTCAAGTGAAGTTCTGCTTCCTGGTCACCTTCCAGGTGTAGGAACTGCCGGGACAGAGACAGCTGAACAGAAGTAAAACCAGTGCCCATTTTGTGACAGGATGTGCACTGATGGACGGTCAGCCTAAAAAGTCAGAGCAGGGTATCCTGGGGGAAGCTGTAGGGAGATGGCGCAGGTGAAGGGGGTGAACAAATGGTGACCAGGGCAGTTGGGATGTTACAAAGTCAGGGCTCACGGGAGAGAGGCTGAGAGATCTCGCTGCTGCAGAGGCGGCTTCCAGTCCTTCTTGGCTCTGACATTTCTGGCCCATCATGTGGAGCAGAGACCACAGCACACTTTGGTCCAGGAATACTCACAAGTAACGCTGTGGCCTGCAAGCCCACTGTCCCCTGCCTAGTCCATGCCTGGGTCCCAGATGGCTGTGGAAAGCTATATGCTCCTGCCTGCATGCTGCAGGGTTCAAGTACTCTTGGGGTTCCACCCCATCTCCCTGTACTTGCCCCCAGTCCTAGAGTAATTCTGGCTTCCATCCTGGGCTGGGTTGTTTGGTTTTGCCCTAGAGGAGGTGGAAAAATACTCAGTTGTCAGTTGCTGTCAAGGTATAACAGGTGCTCTGGTGGCCTCGTGGGTAAGGGGCTGTGCTGCCAAAGGCAGGTGGTTCAAATCCACCAGCTGGCTCCTTGGCTTCTGAAAAACGTGCTGGAGGGCAGCTATGGGTTGTTTCCAACTTGGGAGTAAAGGTGCAAGAGAGCATGACTGCCTGACCAGCCCCTCTCCTGCCTGCCATCAGTGAGCAGGGGCCACCCCTTCGGAGCAGTACACTCCGTTAGGTTTGGGGCTCCACCTAATTGCTGACCCCAGTTGCGGTGACAGGCACACAAACTGCACGGCACGTCCAAACACAGCCATTCACTTTATTCCAGTCTCCCCAGACACCTCCTCATGCTTCAAAAAAGGCAGGGAAGAAACTGGGGGGGGGGGGGGGGATTTCAGTCCGCACAGTCTGAACAGCCTGGTCTCACAGGCATGGCACCCGAACACACAGCAGTCACTAGGGGTGGCACACCCTTGGAAGTTGGGGCCAAGGAGTCTATGGGTGAAGGCGAGGGAATGTTCTGTCCAGATTCCAAGCAGATAGAGGCTTCCCTTGCTCAAGCCTCTTAAGTGCTCGGATACACATTACCACCAAAACCACAAGCCAGTAAGAGGGAAGGTGTACGTGCTGGGACGCTTCCTGAGAACACAGGACACAGGCAGGCAGACCCTGGGGCCAGGAGCATCAGCAGGAGTAAGCAAGTTTCTTTCCCTGAGATAGAGGGTCAGTGTCTTCAGCTTCTAATTTTCACAAGGCTGTTTAGAATCTGTGTATCCAGGAAACAGACATTTCAGGTCACACCCATCTGCTGATAGCTTCCACTTTTCTACTAGCATGTTTTTAATATGTAGTTCCCTGAACAAAGAGCTCTGCTGTGGTACTTTACGTACAATTTAAAGGTTGATGGTTTGAATCTTTCAGCTGCTCCTTGGGAGAAAGGTGGCCAGTCTTTTTCCATCTGGATTTACAGCCTGAGAAAGCTGCTAACAGGTCACTGTTTTGTAATTGACTGTGTTTTGTGATTGTTGTTTGCCATCAACTCCTAGCTGACCCTCCAGCATGTTTTCAGAGGCAGTGAACTGCATGGGAGGAGGCTGCCTAGCCTTCCACTGTGGAGCAGCTGGTGGATTCAAACCACTTGTCTGCCTCTGAGGTTGCAGTACAGCTTCTTACCACTAGGCCACCAGAGCTCCCTAACAGACTACACAGCAATGGGCTTTTCTGGGGTGAGGCGGTGGTGGTGGCTGCTTAAACGCAGTCTAGAAACTTCTATTCTCATATAGGTTTGGATGAAAAGAAATCTTGCTGACATTTTTTTCTCTTAGCTGTTTCTTCTTTGCAACGTCTAACCCTCTCAATTTTGTACAAGGACACAGGGAATAGAAGGGTGGCTTCAAGGTTTGATCCTTGCACTAAGGAACCTGGGAGAGGGAAACATATACAGCGTAGGGGGCAGGGAGGAGAGGGTGGAGAGAGACAGAAAAGAGAACGGGGGGCAAACAGAGACTAGGAAGTATCCGAACAGGAAGCTGTGGCTTTCGGGAATCCAGATGGAACCACATAAAGGAAGTGGTGTGTGCTGTGTGGGCCCCCCTCCCGGTCACAGGAGCCACGGGTGCTCTCAGCTACCAGCAGGAGGTGTCTGAAATGCAGAGACTCGAGCTGGCTCAGTCCATAGGGGCCTCACCTGACCCTCTCCAGATGGCGGAAGCTCTGCACCGTTTTCTCCATGGCCTCATCCATGGGGACCACAGGGCGGTAGCCCAGCAGCCTTTTGGCCCTCTCGCAGCTGTAGTAGTGGTAGGTGCCAGCCAGTGCGATGCGCATAGGGGTGAACGTGGGCCGCAGCACGAACACCGGCCGCAGCAGCATCACCAGCAGCGCCACCAGAAGTGCCAGGTAGTATGCCAACCAGTAGGGGACATGGTATTTAGGGGCCTCATAGTTGAGGCCTGTGAGGACGTGGGACAAAAACGTCCAGAAAGGGATGGGCTCATCGTTGGTGATGTGGAAGGCCTGAGGAGGGAACGAGGGAAACATGGGTGAGACAGCACTCCCGCAGGTCAGCTTGAGAACCTGAAGCCAATGGCCACTAGCCAGACTGCTGGCCTGGTTCCCCTGCTTTCTTCATGGTCTGTGTGTGTGAAGAGCAGATAGAGGACAGTGGGTGGTACAGGGGAACAGGGAGCCAGGACTTTAAGTGGCATTCAGACGGCCACCTTAACAACAGTACCAGCGGTTTAACTCCACTCCTGCTCCAGAGTTAGAGAAGGGAAGAGAAGACCGAGCCCTAGCCCCCTCTTGGCCTCCAGGGACCCAGACACCCACTTCGGGGAGCAGCCTACAGTGGAGCAACAGAGGGAAACAAAAAGAACCATTTCAGGAACCCTGGCTCAGTGTCAGAGCACAGTGAGTCTTAGAGGTGGCTGCCTCTGGGGCAAGGACACGTTTCCCAGCGGAGTGAAAGCTTTCCCCTCAGAAAAGCTGAACCTTAACTGGCTACCTGATGCCACCTCAGGGGGAATGGCACAGGCGGGCAGCCAGGGAAGGCCTCACCTTTCCACACACGGCCAAGTCCTGGGAGAGGCGCTCTGCGGCCAGGATGTGGCCATGGACCACATTTTCCACAAAAGTGAAGTCCACCAAGTTCTTCCCATCTCTGTGGGCACATAGCAGAAGGCTCAGCTCCTGCCAGGATTGCTGGTGGGGTGCAGAGCTGGGCTCCCTCAGGCAGCGGATGGCCCAGGGTCAGAGTGGACTGACAGGTGGTGTGTGCTCTCCTTCCCTCAGGCCTTGCTGGGCTCACATTCTCCAGACCCAACACCAAGATCCCCGGGACACTGAGCGGTAGGTATCATGGGGAGGCTGTGTGCTAGGCCAGGGGGTGAGGCCCTGCGAGAGGAGGGAAGGGAAGGAGGGGAGAGGAGAGGAGGCAAGCACGGAGGGTGGGAAGGTGGACTTGGAGACTGCCACCAGCACTCCCATCCACCGCTGAGGGACCTCTACCTGGGCTTGTCATCAAGGCACACAGGAAGCCCTTGTCTGTCTGCCTTGACCCATGACCTCAGGCTCCTCAAATTCCCAGTGCCCCTCGAGTTGAGGTGGTCCTACTGGCTCAGGGGGGACCCTCGATGCACTGACTGGTGCCCTTAGAAAAAGGCCACGTGCAGGCGGACACACACAGGAGAGACATCCACACCACCACAGAGGTCAGCCCGGACGGCTGCGGGCACAGTTCCCTGGGTGCCAGGCCCACCAGGGAGCTCCTAGGAGCAAGGAAGGACCCGGCCCTGGAGCCTCCAGGGAGGGAGTGGCCTCCTGCCCACCCCGAGTTCACACTCTGCCCTCCAGAACCCAGAGGGGACTCTGCTGTTGCTGAAAGCCCCCTGACCGAACGAATCTGGAGGGTCCTTGTGCAGGTCACACAGGAGAAAGCTGCAGTCTAGCCTGGTTACTGACAAGGGGGCTTCAAAGGAGAGGGCTTGACCTTGTTCCAGCCAAGCAGGCACAGGCAGCAGAGGAAGTGGGGGGTGACAGGGCCGACTCACCCAATCATAAACTTCATCTTGCCCTTTCTGGCAGCCTCAATGAGGATGGGGACCAACTGGGGGTCCCTGGGGCCGAAAATGCCATGAGGCCTGATGGCTGCAGTTAGGAAGCTGCTCTCTGGATCATTGGCCCGAAGGACGGCCTAGAGGAGACAGGGGGAGACGTGACCCATGAGCACTGGCTGGCCCTGCATTCTTTCAACTTCCATTGTGTCCATGGGGTTTAGTGCACAGTTAGGTACGGAGGCCTGAGTGGTAAGCTCAGAGGGTCGCCACCTTTGGTTTAGGAACGTAAACCCTGCCACTGTCCACAGAACTCGTGTGCTGCTCCCTCGGGCAGGTCTGAGGCCCATACCTGCTCCTGTAAGATCTTGGTCTCTGTGTAATAGTCAATGGGCTTCACGGCGTAAGGCAGGTCCTCTGTTCCATTCTTGATGTCGACACCCTCAAAGACGACACTGGCACTGCTGGTTAAAATGAGCTTCTAGTGAAGGAGAAAGAGATGAGAAACTGCCTTGTAGAAGCCGCCAGCAACAATCATCATTGAGAAGCTGAGGGCCCTGAGGGCCCTGGAGGAAAGCGTGTCAGGTGGCCGCCGGGACATGCTTAACTCAGCTGGAAGCCACCACCCTCTGCAGCTGGGAGGATTCCAGACACCCGATGTGGAACATTCTGCAACTTTTTTCTGTCTCAACACACAGACTCTGGCCACAGTGGGATCTCATGACAGGGTGGGAGACAGCCCAGAAACATCCAGGGAGATGTGCGTGAAAAATATCACAGATGTGCATATGTGCACAACTCGCAGACATGCAACACACCGAGCCTGTACGAGCGACACTATTCTCCAGGAAGATGCCCTGCAGCCCAGATCCCTGGCAGAGGACTGCTCCCCCAGGCCTGAACATGATGGCTTCCAGCACACCGCACCGGAATTCTAGCCAGAGCGGCCAGGTAAGACAAGAAGGCAACATGAGAAGAACTAAACATTCACAGATAACAGAATTATCTCTACAGAAAAACACAGTCAAATACGCAGAACACCCACACAGGAAAGTCAATGCCATGCGTGTGCAACACTCAGGAATGTACTGACATACGTTATTTGTACACAGGGTATCATTTACATGCCAGCCAGAACAAGGCACTGGGAATACCTTTAACAGGCAAACCACGAGGATTTTCTAAAACAAACTGGCAACTATCCTAAGGCATTAAAGGAATCCGTAAGCAAAGCGATGCTCCTGGTTCTGGGGCAGAGGACATGATAATGTGACTGGTGGCACTAGGCGCACTGAGCATGCTCCTCCTTTGAAGAGCCCCTAGAGCACTCCCAGTTCTTGACGGGCCAGCTGCTGACTGGCAGGGCTGGCCCTCGTACCGAGGAGGATGCTGGCAGAGAAGGCCCTTGATTCCAGAGCATCTGTGGTGTACGCCAGTCTGAGGTGTCGGCACTGGGCAATGCTGAGAACCAGTATTTATAACCAAGGATGAGGTTCACCCCTTCAGCTCTGAGTTCTAACAGGTTCACATGCGCTCAAAGCAAACAGTTTTTCTTTTAACATATAAGCAAGGTCTGTACTTCATAGCTCTTTAACAAAGACTATTAGGTCTGAGAGTCCTCAGAAATCTGAAAGTAAAAAGACCATTTTGTGCACAGTTAAAATGTTACCATTCTAGCTGGCCCTGGACACTGCGCTGTCATGATTCAAGCAATACCTCTGGCTTCTTCCTGTGACCTTACTGACACTACAGAAAGCAGCCCAGATTGGGCCTGTTGAAACACAGGGCCACCTCAGCCTTGAGCCTGAAGTCGGAAGCTGCAATGAACTGGGGGTGCCAAACGCTCAACCTGGTGTTCCCCTTACCTGAACCCCAGCCTCTTTGCAAGTGTTAATGACATTCTTGGTGCCAAGGTAATTCACTCTATAAAAGAGTTCCTTGTTGTCACTGGATGGTGGGGGTGATGCACAGTGAAAAACTGTGCTCACACCTTGCAGGGCTGGGTACAGATCCTGGAAAAGCAAATACAGACAGAAAGAAACCATCAGTCCACTTCGCAAAAGCAAACCGCCTCCACACATGCCTGTTCTCCAACCCTCCTGCCCTCTGTAACAGCACAGCTACCCCAGCGGTACACTGGCACTGGCAAAGAATCAGATCGAGTTATCCTCGGAGTTGCCCCTCCCACTGCTGGTTCCCAATAAAAACTGGTTTGAGGTAGGAACATAACAGCTTGTGGGATCCGAATGAGGAATCAGTGAGGTAAAATTTCTGGAGAAGGTGAGAGAAACATGTCCACATTATAGAGAGCCAACACACATATGTTCCATCTGGTGAAACTAGATATGCTCCAAGAGCCTGAAGGAGATTTTAAAACACACACGTTTAATTTATACTAGGAAGAACCAAATCTCCTAAAGAAGTGGTCCATGGCAGATTCGGGGTCGAAAATACACAAGATGAACCAGAACAGCTTGCCCTAATGAACAGGTATTGCTAAGAGGACTTGCGAGTTAACCGGACAGGCTTCAAAGGCACTTACAGACTAAAACAAATTATGGAGAAAGGACTGAGAGCTGCTTGCAAAAATCAGCCAATGTCAACTTTAAGCATAGTAATTTGGTAGTAACAAAGTTTAAAAAGGTAAAAGTAATTTATTACTCCAAGATACTATTCTTTTACCATGTAATCAATGTAAAAAGTACTGAGATCGTTTACAATCTTATTTTGTATGAAATGTTTGAAATCTGGGATGCATTTGACAGTGATAGAATGCTTCAGTTCAGAGTAGCCACATCCCAGGTGCTCAATGAACACATGTGGCTCCTGGTGATCAGAGTTAACAGGAAAGGCAGAGGAGCAACAAAATCCAGAGCCTGAGAAATGCCACACCACAATGAACTTGGTTGCTTTCCCAAACACATGAAATAGTTTTACATTGAAGAGTGTTTTCTAAATTGAAGAGAGCTTTTGATGGTGTAGTCCATAGAAAGGTACACTGCTAAGGCAGAGGCCACGCCTCTCCGGTGGGTCAAAGCACCAACAGCACTGTGGGAGAAAGATCAGCTATCTCTTCTTGTAGGATTTATAGCCTTGGAAAACCTCCTGGCAGGTAAGCTGTGAATCAGTTCTCACTGGATGGCAACGTAAGCTTGAGCATAAATGAAGAGAATCTTAAACAAATTAATCAAATGCAATGTCTTGGCCATGTGTGGATCCTTACTGGGAAAACCAGAATCATGTCCCAGAAAAATACATGCATGTACCAGGCTGCTCCTTGGAGGCAAGGATTCTGGGGCTTCGTCTGACATACTTTGGACATGTTGTAAAGAGAGACAGGTCCTTGGAGAGGGACATCATGCTTGGGAGGGTGGAGGGACAGCGCAGGAGGGGAAGGCCCTCTATGAGGTGGTTTGATTCGGTGACTGGGGTAATTGGGATGGGTGTGTCAGAGGCGGTGCGGTTGGCACAGGACAGAGCAGGGTTTAGGGCTGTTGTACATAGGGTCGCTTTGAGTCGCAAACGACTCGACGGCACATAACAACAACAACAACAACAACGATACAACGTGGAAACTATGTGATGATATCCTACCATCAGATAAACCAAACAGATGTGAGAGGATCAAGGGTATAATGCCACTCCCCTTAATCCCACCACAGCTCTGATGCTACAAATCCAACTTCCCTAGGCTGCGGCCTACAACACCTTCTGTCTCACAAACTGAACCCCGAGTTGGGGGCATCATAGCCACTTAGAAAGCATCTTATAGAGGAAGGCCCTCTCTCTGAGTCTGCTCCAGGTCCCTGCTCAAGGAAATTCCTTGCTACTGAGGAAGGCCAGGCTGCATGATCTCCAGGAAATGCGTGGTATGCAGATGCTGATTGAAACGAGAACTTTTCTCCATGACTCAAACAGAGAGAGGGCCTTCCTCCAGAGCTGTCATCCGGAATCTGGTCTTCTAGCTCTCTAAATGATAAGTTACAAGTCTGTTCAAACCATCCATTCATGGTAACGTCACTACAGGGATGAGACCAGGAGTGTAGACTGCAGTCAGTTTCACCATTTTGCCTGCATGAAACCAAGCAAGTGCAGCAGCAACTACTGGGAATCTCACTCCTAGCAATAAAGCAGCAGTGGAGAATGCAGTGCGCCTTCTCTGGGGCCAGAGATTCCGGAATCACTCAAACCGGGGCCTATGGGAAATGGCCAGAGCAGACCTGAGACTGCTTTTCCATGGAGCTAGAGCCAGGGTCCAAGCTTGCTGGAGGACTGGGAAGCACGGGGAGACATCAGACTTGGCAGGACTGAGAGAGCTCTGTAACTCTGGCTGAAAACCACAAGGTGGAAGGGTCTATGAGCACACTTCAGAAGCAGTCTTGATTGACAAATTTTATTCCTGTTGTTACTCTGAGTTATAACCTGTTATCTTCACTAAGTTGTACAGTCAGCACTCCTCTGTCAATATGACGCAAGGTAATCTGGGTTTGCTGTGATGCTGAATCTTGTGCCACTGAGGGGTTCAAATGCCATAATGGCTGCCCAGAGTGGACAGTGTTTGGTGGAGCTCCCAGTTTAAGATAGGTTTGGAAGCAGGAGTGGCATCCACTTCCTAAACCACATACCTCTGGAAACTCTATGAACGACAGCTATAAAAAGGCTTTTGTTAATAGGGTTGCTATGAGTTGTGCTCGACTCGAAGGCAGTCAACAACAACAATCTTCCCTAATAAACTCCATAACTGGAGTACGGATCTGTGTGGTCTGCATAGCTATTGCAACAAATTTCAGACCCACCATGGCAGTAAGATTGGTATCAGCCATTAGTAGAACTAAGCGGTAGATGTAAGTGTGGAAGAGTGGGGACTCCATGGGAATTAGTTTTGTGTTGTGGATGCTGTTGATGGGGGCAGTTCTTCCTTGTGCAGTCAGCAGAGGTCACTGAGTATAGCAATGAAACAGCACACCACATTGAGTGGCCTCCTTTTCAACACATGAGCCTTAACCTCCTATAGGCCGTGGCAGACCCTGGCTACTTTGCACGTTTCCCCGGTCCATTATTTCACTCTCTCTGCCTGCCTCAAACCTCCCCACTACCCTGACTCCCACTGTCCTTAGCACCTCACTCCCAGTAGTGGAATAAATAGCCAGCAAAACACGGTTTCTTGCCCTTCTGCAATCTAGTCTATCAACCTACCTGCCTCCCCTCCACTAGGAGGCCTGACTGTCCATGTTGGGCCAACACCTCCACTTGATCTCCTTAGTTCCGACTCTCCTCCTCTCTATGAGGCCTCCAGAAGTTATTTTGTAAAAACACAGAGGCCAGAGTGGGGATGGCCACTTCTGACCTCTACGACCTCCACAAGGAGGAACTGCCACCATCAACAGCATCCACAACACAACATCAATTCCCACTTATTTCTACTGAGCTCAGCGGTGACCCTTTGGGTACTTACCTTAAGGGGAGGTCTGTGGACAAATTTTTCTGGAAATAAAGTTTTACTGGCCCACGATAATGACCATTCACTCCCATAGCAAGCATGGCTGTGCAAGTGTGGTGAGGGTGGGGCTGACACAGCAGTTAATCCTTTGGAGGAGTATGGTGCCAAACCCAACCCTTTGCCATCGTCGGCCACAGGACGGGGAAGCCGTGAACCTTTCCACGATTAGATAACGCCATCCTTCTCCCAAGAACCATCTGGGATCCAAGTGCTAACCTACATGTAGCTTACTGGTCAGCCGCTTTAACCACGTCACCATCAGGACGTTTTAGTAAGCACGAGAGTGTTGGCTAAAGGTTTTTTCCTATAATTGTGAAATTTTGCAAAATGGATTAAAAAAAGAAAAAAAAAGGAACACCTTTTTTTTGGATGTAATTTTTGTCTGGCCTTTAGATCAGGTGAGTGCAGTGGTGGGCTTGGCGTGCAGGGTGGAGGCTGTGGTGACACAGATGGGGCCATTACCTGGCGGCTGCAGAGGTCTCCCAAGAAGAACTGCACCTGGGGATTCTCAAAGCCTTGCCGGATATCAAAGACGTTCACACTATAGCCTCTTGCCAGCAACTGCTCCACCATGTACTGTCCAAGAAATCCCGAGCCTCCGATCACAGTACATCTCTTGGCCTGTGGGAAGAAGGTGGCAAGGTGGATGAGTACGCTGACCACCAGGAGCTCCTGAGGTCTACAGCAGATAAAGCCCGGGCCACTCATGGGGCTCACATCAACGGGCCGTTTGGTGGGTCTGTTCCAGTTAACATCTCTTGAGCCTCAGCTCTATAGCATCTGGGGGTTTGTTGGTCAATGGCACCGTCTTCTCCATGATCAGCAGATGATGATGTGTGGAAGTTGAAAGCAGAGAGGGCTCCTTGGAAAGAAATTCAACCACCTTTGACCTAAGCTGGATAATCTAGGAAAAGGCATGCCCTGCTTTTCAGACACTTCGATAAAGCAAATACTGTTCTAAAGCAGGCCACAGGCACGTTCTGGTTCCCCAGAGCCCACACAAGCCATGCTGACACGATATTGTCACCTGTGAGGGATGCAACAGCAAGATGAAAAAGTACAAACTTCTACGAGAATGACTAAATGGGACACAGAGACCCTGAGCAATGCTGTTAGCAGATGTGCTGGAAGCAGGGCTGGTCCAAACACAGCACGTGCAGGGCCACTGAAAGGCCAGGGCAATGAGCCCCTTGTGCTGCCTGTACCTTGCTTCTCTTAGTGATGATGTCCAAGCACTCTCGAGACAAAATAAAAAGAAATGAAACTGCAACTAATGGTTACACTTTGCTGGTTGGAAGAAACTAGAAAGCAAAATACAGCCTCCACCACCCCAGGAGAAAAGCAGTGCCTCACCCTTTTTCAGCAAAGGGGCTGGTCTCCAGTGGGGCCTGAGCCTGGGCTGCAGCTTGAGGGCCTGCTCCCCATGGCAACAGGGAGGAGGGTGCTAAGTCAGAGGACAGTGTGTGCCTCTCAGCTAAACACCCACTCTGGTACCTGAAGCTGATGGAGGACACAATACCACATGCAAATATTCAGATTATCAAAAGCCAGTGGAAAATTCAAGCTGTCACATGCTGGATGAGCTCCAAGTGTTCCCTATGGGGCATGGTGACAGCCCTCGCTCCTTAGGGTCTGGGTGTCCTTCATTAACATGGAGCGTCACAGTCACTCCAACCAGGCAGTGTGGCAGCTGGGGCACTTTACAGATGAAAACCAACCAGCTCCCAAACCAGCCAAAGACGCCACGGAGTCCTTACGGGGTGGCACAGGAAGTCATGTGTTGGTTGGGCTGCTAACTGAAAGGTTGCCAGTTGGGACCCACCAGCTACTCTGAGGGAGAAAAACAAGGCTTCCACTAACAACTAAAACTCAAGCTCCAGTCTGGAGACAGGTAGTGAGATTCCAGGCTCAGTTACCGGGAGAAGCTGTCAAATGAGTGGTGGAGGGACATCGTTAATAGGAAAGAAGAAAGGATAGGAAGAAAGCCAATGGAGGGACCTCTGGGGACCTAGCGGCAAAAAGCTGCACTGCAACCCTAAAGGTGCATGGTTCAAATCCACCAGATGCTCCAATGGAGGAGGGGAAATCTCCTCCAGTGCCAGTCGGAGTCAACTTGATGGTACACAAGAAAAAAAAAGAAAAGAAATAAGAAAGCCACTGAGACACACCCATGCAACTGCCATCCCATCCTGAAGAAGGAATAGTCTGGGCCACTTGGCTCCCAGAACTCTTGGTTTGGTCTTTAGTCATGGATTCCTTTTTGCTGAAAGGGTTTCTACAGGTAAAAGTAATGTTTTTCATGTTCACAGTGTGACTTTATTTATGGGAAGCCAATACTAAATATTTGTAATAAACCGAATGCTATTTCAGGATGTGGGGGAGGCCCGGTTCAAGCTGCAGCTCACCCCGAGGCCCAAGGCAATCCTTAAGGGAATACTGGATTCTTGCATTGTGTTCTGACCCCTCCCTCCTGAGTCAAGGGGAAGTTTTCATTTGCATCGAATTCTCTGTGTTTTACTTCCTAATAATTTTCAATAAAGATACAGGGAAGCTGGAATGGTCTTCAGTCGAGAACTGCTGGCCCCCTATTTTTCATGCTCTCAGCTCTATCTCATTCCTGGCTGTCTCATTATTAATAATTATAAAAATACTTTACCCTTGGTCTGCAACATTTATTACTTTTCCTCCCTATAAAGCCAACTGATGAGAAGAAGGGGGTTACGTGAAGAACACTGCCATTTAACACTGGATGAGAGGCAGCTTGCTATTTTCATTGTACTTGCTATCTTTTTGGGCTATTGACTACCAATAAAATCGTAATTCATGCAAACATTCAAAAAATAGGATGACATGGAGGTCAAGGCTACCACTTCTTGGGGAGGGGTGTCTTAGTTTAACACCACTTGATAGAAACACATTTTAATACGGCGTGACTACATTAGTGAGTGTGCCATAGATTGCCAAGAACAGGTCAGTCTGGGAGGAAGTGTAGCCAGGGTGCTCCTTAGAGGCCAGCGGTGAAACTCCATCTCACAGACTTTGGGCATGTTGTCAGGAGGCCTTGTGGTGTTGGAGAAGAGTACTGAATAAACAGATAAACCTTGCAGAAGGTAGAGGCAGAGTACTCCTTGGAGGCAAAGATAATAAAGCCTCATCTCACATACTTTGGGCTTGTTACCAGAAGAGGCACTCCTTGGAGAAGGACATCATGCTTGGAAAGGTGGAGAAGAAGATGTTCAACCAGATGAGTTGACACAGTGACTACAGCAATGGGCTCTAGTGTGTCAGGAAGCATGAAGACAGTACAGGGCTCACATCTGTTGTTCATAGGGTTGGTATAAGTTGTACTTGACTCAATGGCATCTAACAACAACAGCAACAAGAACAACCTAACAATGACTGTACATTTACGAAATCTTAAAATCATTAATGGTCAATAAAAAAAAATCATTAGTGGTCAATCAAATCAAACAACGTTCCTTCTAATACTTGTGAGGCTAGACCTTAGGAGGCTTTGAACCTCTGCTGCTGTCTCTGAAGAGTATTTCCATCATCGCACCAAGAAGCCGAGACTAGTCTGCAAGAGGCCTTCTGAAGGCGAAAGGACGGCTGCAGTCACTGCCAGATGCTGGAGGGAGGCCCCCAATGCATGAATGAGCCTGAGAACCTCAGACCAGAACCCCTGGCTGGGCATGGTCCACAGTGCACTTGCAGAATCCCTGCCAAAACGATGGTAGTAAAACCACCACATTCACACAAACCAGTGTCTGTGATACTGACTGAGCCATCTTAAAATAAGATACCATAATACTAAATAATAAGTGATTTAATAAATGCAGTAAACACCACGGTCCTCCGCAACTTCAGCAGAAAGAGCCGACAGTTCCGTGCATGCCCCTTGCTTCCGGTTCAGGGTGCCTGGGCTAATACTCACTTTGGGGATGCCTTCTGTCACTTGGGTCCACACTGCCTGGTCTCTCATTTCCTCACGGCGTGTATCTCGTTCCATTTCTGCTGAAAGTAACAGGCCTGTTGTCAATCCTTTTCTGTTCTCAAAGACATTTGTAGAGTCAGACCTTTCTATTGTATAAACAACAACCTTTTTTGACTGCCAGGGTTCTTCTGAGTTCTTGCCAATAGGTGAGCCACATTGCAGCTGATTGAGAAAACACACAGCTGACCACATGCCAGGGATGGGGCTGCGTGTTCTCTTGGAGGAGCATCGCTGGACCTCACTCTTGAGTCACCAAGCACTGCCAGCCACTGGCAGGTAAATGAAAAGGCACAGTGCAGGAGCCTGAGCCAGCACAGAATGGTATTCTGGCTCCCATGGGGTAAACCCAAAGCACCAATGATGCAAACTGCTTGTTGCATCCCAGTGAGTGGGTAAGATGGGGAGCAGGGTCAGAGGCATGTGATAGCTTGTGTCAGGAGCCTGGGAGCCCTGGCAGTGGGAGCTGAGGGGTAAACACTGGGACCTGGTAAGAGCTCTGGCAAAACCACTCTGCACAAAGACAACCAAGACCAAGGCTCTAAGTAGAGGGATGACAAGAACTCATCACATGGCCTGAAAATATGATTGATGCCTGGGAGAAAGGTTTGATCTCGTTCACCAGAAGAGAAACAGAAACTCTGGGAGGCTAGGTGACTGGCCCAAAGTCAGAGCTGGGCCAATGGGAAGGCAGGATCTGTGTTGGTTCTTGCCACACCCTACGGACAGCCTGGGAAGCAGGCTGGTGAGAAGCAAAAGGGGGAAGGAACAGAAGGGGGCAACGCTGGGCAGGATGCAGGTGTTGGGGAGGCAAGTGATTATCAGCCTTTCAAATTTACCCAGGCCTTGCTGATGCGGCCAAGGCATGTCCCTCACTGGAGCTCTGGCTCCAAAGCCTGCTCTCTAGTGGAGAAGTGACAAAGAACAGTCAAAAAGCAAACCAGCAGGGGAGGACATCAGTACCAGGACGGAGTGCGGAGAGCAGAGCAAAGGGTGAGGGCTTGCAGCCTCCGACGGTGTGAGGAAGGGGGAAAGGAACGGGCTGAGCAGGCATGTGGCCAGTGTACTGGAGGTTCAACAAGAAAGAGCCCAGTGCTCTTGAGGATGATGGCCAGAGCAGGATATCTGGGTCTGTCAAGTGGCAGCTGCCAGGGCCAGGAGACAACGAGCACCATTGAGTGAGAGAAGCTAGAGGCTGGCTATGGGGCTGCCTGGAAGGTTTAGGACGTGGTTCACTGCTCTCAGAGATAGAGGGCAGCAAGTTGGTGGGCATGTCTCCTACAAGGGCCTGTTTCAGTCGCCCTTCCCTGATAACAGTCCTCGTGCCTTCAGGAACAGGGAGGCACTGAGAGCCAATGAGGGCTTTTCCACACGGTGGAGGTGAGCTCCCTTTCGCAGTCCATTTTACCTTATGGCCAGTCCCATGCTCCCCCAGTTTCCCAGCTGGCCAGCTCCAGGAGGTTCTGCTCACAGGAGGGCTTCCACCTGATACCCTCCTCGCATCTTGGCGCGCATCACCTTCACTACCGGGGGTAGAGGGAAGCCCACTTTGAAGGCTCCAGCTCTCCTTGCTGGGAGGCGAATGGTCGGTTTTAGCTTGGAAGCTGGCTTGGGGACTATTCTGCTGGCTCTGGTTGCAGTACTCTGCACCCAAGATCCAGCAGTTTGCACCTCTGGGTTTCCCCCGCTCAGCAAACACTGTCCTGTCTTTGGTCTTCAGTGTCCCGGTGTAGATACGCCTCCACCAACCAGTAAGGTCATGGCTGTCCATGGCATCTTGAGACCCGCTCTCACTATCGCTGCCTCCCCGAAAGGCCCCGGTCTCCCGCAGCCACCTTACCACTCCGTGGGCGCCTGCAGCCTTCTCAAGTCGCCCTATGCCAGCACCCAAAGTAACTCAACACGGTCCCTTCCTCTTGTCCCCATGGTCAGCATGGGGCCAGAATCGGCCGAGGCTTCTCCATCCACATGATTGGCTCGACACGACGACGGCTCAGCCAATCGGTGCTCAACGCGTGAATCTGACCAATCCACGCCGATCTCCGCGGCACTGTGCCTCCCCAAGCCCTGGCTAGGTTGATCCCGCCCTCTCTAAGTGAACACCAATGGAGAGTGGCGGGCAGGTCACCAATGGACAGCCGGCCACGGGCGCACAGGCCGACGGGAACAGAGCGAATGAATTTCTGGGTCTGTTGCCATAACAACAGTCCAGCAGTCCACCTGTGATGGTAAGTCCCATCAGTCTGGTGGTGAGCGCATTCCGAGGCGCTGGGTTCTGCGGTCCTAGCCGCCGCACCGCCTCGCCTACGTGCTCCTGAGCATCCGCGCCCTTCGTTCTCTGCACTGTGCCCCGGAAGGGTAGGGTCGGCCGCCTGTCCGCGTCCCGCTTCTCTCCACTTCCCACTTTGGCCCACAGCTGGCACGAACCTCCGCTCGCCTGCTCCCGGCCTCCCCTGAACCTGTCCTCGGTGACGGCCCCTGGACAAGGCCGAGGCCAGGGGTCCCCCGACCCCCCGGCTCCAAGCCGGCCTGGCCTGGCCAACGGGCAGCTTCCCTAGCTGGAATTTTTACATTGAGATTTTCACGTTGAAATACCGAGGCGGCAGCCGCGTTGGTACCGCCCCAGAGCAGGTGGGAGGCGCCCCCGACGTGCCTCGGGGACTGCTGTTAAGCAGCGCCTTGCACTCAGGGCTGCATTTGGCTCAGGTGTCGTCCTCAGCGGGCGGTGGGAGCACCGCGGGTGGGCGCATTTCCAGAACTAGCCGGTGCCGATGTGTCAGTGTCTGTGGTGACGACAGTGATTGGCAGCTGCTCGCTCTCTTGGAAGAAGTGTCAGATAGGAGGGCGGGTGCCCGTGCCTCGAGAAACAAGGGGGCATGAGGGGCCTTTGAGTGAGGTGGTGAGTGAGATTCCTTCGAATGGGCCCTAGACTCCTCCATGCCTTTGGCATTCTCTTCAGAGTCACTTGTCCAGCACTTGGGTGGACACAACGGCACTGGGCCATGAATGGCCTTACACGTGCCAGCGAATGCCTTTGTCACAGAGGCCTCCTGAGAGAGCCGTTTAGGTCCCCTGGGAAGTTGAGGATGTGGAAAAGCCACGGACTTCCTCAGGTCCACAGAGCAGCGTCGGCTTTCTTACCAGGAACTGTGTTGGCTCTCTTTTTAAGCAAAGCTTTGGCACTGGCTAATAAAAGTGAGTTTTCAACAGATAATAAGCGTCATGAGGTCCCTGAGTGGCACAGGTGCTTTATGCTCAGGTTCTAAACTTAAGTTTGGTGGTGGAACCTGCCCAGCAGCATGGAGGGAAGAGGGCCTGCCAGTCTCCTTCTGGAAAGGTTCCTAAAACCCACACCCCAGACACAGTGTCATCAGCCATCCTCTCATTTCTGAGACTGCTAATGGTGATGAGAAGAGATTGCCCATTTTTCTCCTTTGAGGCAGCTAAGAGATTCCAATGACTGCACTTTGAGTTAGCAGCATAATAAGTAATGTCTCATGCCACCAGAACTCCTCCTGGAAGGAGTTGTTGTTGTTGTTAGATGCTGTTGAGTAGCAGGTGACTCATAGCGATCCTATAAAGGAGAGTCCTCAACGCTTGTGTCTCTCATTGTCTCTTCAGGTTCATAGGGTTTCCGGCGACAAGCTATTACGGAAGTGGATGCCACTCCTCCTTCCAAGCTTGTTTTAATCGGGGAGCTCTACCCCACTCTCTGTCTGCATTGGGTAACCAACCATGAACGCATTTGACACATCAGCGTCACAGTGTTCAGCCTCACAGCAACCACAAGTGACACCAGGGCTATATGACCTAGAGGAATGTCTGAACAAAAACAATGAAAGACAGGCCTGAGGGCCGCGGATTTAAAGTCACCCACCTTTGACTCGGTAGCATCGCTTTCTGTCCACCGGGCCAACTGATCTCTCTCTCTCTCTCTATGTTGATATGATTGTTGTTAACTGCCGTCGAGTCGCAGGCAACTCATAGTGACCCTGGAAGGATTACAGCCTAGAAAACATATGTAGCTGTGAGGTGCTTTCGAGGCCACCACAAGTCATACCAACCCTATGAGCAACAAATTCAAGTCTTTCCTTATCCTTCCCCTTCCTCGCAGTCACTGCCATGCTCAAACCTATTAGTACAGTGACTTTGTCAGCCTATCTCCCTAACACTCTTTCATTGACCCTCTGCTTTTCCAAGCATCACGTCCTTTTTCAGGACTGCCGTCACCTGACAACATGCCCAAAATAAGTGAGATGATATTAAGTATTCACTCTCATTACCTCTACGGAGCACCCTGGCTGCACTTCCTCCAAGACTTTGTCCAGTTTGTTCTTTTGGCAATCTATGAGTTATCCAGTGCTCTTCTCCAACACCACAGCTCAAAGGCATCAGTTCTTCTCTATTCATTACCTAGCTCTCAAATATATAGCAAGTGATTGAAAAAACCATGGCCCAAATCAGGCACACCTTCTTCCTCAAACTGACATCATTGCTCCTCAATAATCTGGAGAGGTCTCTGACTGCATACTTGCAGTTCGTCTCCTGATCTAATGACTGCTGGTACCAAGGGTGTTGATTGTGGATCCAAGTAAGGTGAAATCATTGACAACTTTAGTCTTCTCCATCTATCATGGTGCTGCCAGTGGTGAGAATTTTTGTCTTCTTGATGTTGAGATGTAATCCATACTGAACGCTGCAAGTGAAGTCCTTGATGTTCTTAAGTAGGTGCTCCCAAATCTTCACTTTCTGCAAGGAACATACTGTCATCTGCAAAGCACGGGTTGTTGATGAGTCTTCCTTCAATCTTGATGCAACGTTGTTCTTCTTACAGTCCACCTATGTGAATTATTCATTCACTGTATAGCTTCAATAGGCATATTATGATAGTTGTAGTTAAGTGCCATCAAGTCTACTAGTGCTCATAGCAACCCAGTGCTCATCAGAAGAATGAATAACCTTTTCCCTGCCCGTGCTGTCCTCACTATCTCTGACATGCTCCAGTACATGTTACAATCACTGTGTCTGTCTATTTCCTTGATGGTCTCCTCTGTTTTTTTTCACTTTCTACTGTTCCCAGCATGATGGCCTTCCCCAAGGATAAGGCTCTTTCTTGACAATATGACCAAAGTAAGTGAGACCAAGTTTCCCCATCCTTGACTTTAAGGAGCACTGTGGTTGCACTTCCTCCAAGACAGAGTTTGTTTGTTCTTAGGCAGTCCACGGGATATTCAGTACTCTTAACCAAGACCACAATTCAAAGCCAAAAATTTTCTTCTGTCATCCTTCTTCACTGTCCAATGTTTGGATGCATGCTCTTGTTCTTCCTGGGATAGTGACCCTGTGAACCACAGATCTTAATTCTTTTCTATCCTGTGCCATCCTCGCACGTCCTGACACACAAGAGCCCATTGTGGCTGTTACCGTGTAAGTCCACCTGGTTGATGGTCTTCCTCTCCTTTGCCAACCCTCTGCCTTTCTGAGCATCATGTCCTTCTCCAAGGATTAGCCCCTTCTTCCAAAATACCTGAAATATGTGAGGCAAGACTTTATCATCTTTGCCTCCAAAGAGCACTCTGGCTGCCCTTTCTTCAAGACATATTTGTTTGCTCTTTTGGCAGTCTGTCGGTTGTTCAGTGCTCTTCTCCAACATCACAGCTCAAAGGCATCAATTCTTCTCCTGTCATCCTTATTCATTGTCCAGCTCTCAGATATACAGCAGGTGATCAGAAAGGCCATGGCCTGAACCAGATGCACCTTTATCCTCAAACTGACATCATTACTCCTCAATAGTATGGAGCCGTCCCTAACTGCAGACTTTTCCAGTGTTTCCTGATTTCATGACTGCTGGTACCAAGGGTGTTGATTATGGATCCAAGTAAGATGAAGTTGTTTACCGTTTCAATATTTTTCTTCATCTATCATGATGTTGCCTATTGGTCCTGTGGTAAGAATTTTTTTTCTTCTTGACGTTGAGATGCAAGCCATATTGAAGGCTGTACTCTTTGATCTTCTGCAGCAGGTGCTTCAAGTTCTCCTCACCTTCAACCAGCAAGGTTGTATCATATGCATAACACAGATTATTGATGAATCTTCCTCCGATCTTGATGCCGCATTCTATGAAGGAGTCAAGCTTCTCAACTAATTTGCTCATTATACTGATGGAACAGGTATGGAGAGAGAACACAACCCTGACGCACTTCCTTCTTAATTTTAAACCATGTAGTGTTCCCCCCCCTCTCTTTGCACCACAGCCGCTGCCTCCTGGTCCAGGTATAAGTTTTGCATGAGCACTAATTAGTGCTCTGGAATTTCCATTCTTCTCAGTAGGAACACGTGACAGATTCGGATGCACAGAAAGCAGTTGCGAAGACTATGACTTGGATCAGATGTACCTCAGTCTTTAAATGGACACCCTTGCGCTTAAGCATTTTGGAGAGCTCCTTGACAACTGATTTTTCCAGTGTAACGTGACTTTTCATTTCTTGAGTGCTGCTACCGTGGGTGTTGATTGGAGATCCAAGTAAAAGAAAATTGTTGACAGCTTCAGCCTTTTCTTCACCTATCATATATATTGTCTATAGGTCTGGTGGTGAGGATTTTGTGTTTTCTTGATGTTGAGCTGTAACCTCTAGTGATCTTTGACCTTCTGCATTAAGCACTTAAAATCAATCCTCTTCACTTTCTGCAAACAAGGTTGTGTCATCTGCGTAACGCAGGTTGTTGATGAGTCTTCCTCAGATCCCGATCCCACATTCCTCTTCATAGAGTCCAGCTTCTCAAATTATTTGCTCAGCATATGGGATGAATTAGTATGGAGAGAGGCTGCAACTCTGACACATACCTTTCCCAATCCAATTTTAAACTAAGCAGTATTCCCTCATTGTGTTTGAAAAACTGCTGCTTGGTCAATGTATAAGTTGCAATGCTTTATTTTGTCTGCTCAATATGCCCTTTGGAATCTACTGCTCCTCTCTTTTATTTCAGCATTTCTCCCCTTTGTTTTGTCCTTTCTCTGTTCCAGTGCAAATTTCACAGTCTCTTCTGATGTCCATTTTCGTCTTGTCTTTGGTCCCTGCCTTTGCAGTGACCGTTTGCTTTCTTCATGGATGATCCTTGTTGTTCTCCCACAGCTCCTCTGTTCTTCAGTCATCAGTGTTGAAGGCATCAAATCTAGTCTTGAAATAATTTTTAAGTTCAAGTGGGGTAAACATCAGATCCTAGTTTGACTCTTAGTGGACTGCTTCCATTTTCATTTGAACCTGCTTTTGAGTAATTGATGACCTGTTCCTCAGTCATCCCTTGGTACTGCTTTGACTGCTGTTGATTCAATAGATAAGACCTTGAGGTGAAAGGACACAACCTTTTCATGATTTTAAATTGTGCAGTATCTCCTGCTTTGTACATGTTCTTCATGAGGTCAGTTAAGTATTCTGGGATCCCCACTCTTTGTAATGTTAGCCATAATTTATTCTGAGCCACACAGTCAAATGCCTTTGCATAGTCAGTAAAACACAAGTAAGTAAACATCTTTCTGGTGTTCTCTGCTTTCAGCCAGGATCCATCCAACATCAGCAATGATACAGCCTCTTCTGAATCAAGCTTGTATTTTTCCAAGTTCCTTGTTGATCTACTGCTTCAGCTGTTGGGTTTGGGTTTTTTCTTGTACATCTTCCGCAAGATAATGATATTGTGTGATAATTTCTGCATTCTTTTGGATCGTCTTGTTTTTGTTTGTTTGGCTTTTAATGGGAGCAAATGTGGATCTTTTCCAGTTGGTTGACCAGGTGGCAGTCTTCCAAATTTCTTGACATAAACTAATTATTAGATAGAAAAAACAGTTGAGAGAGAAAGAAGCTGGTCCCAAATAGCAGACATGCCTTTAATAGTAGACCTGAGAGGGGTGCCAGGTGATGGTTCACAGACAGCATCAGCGTGGCACGCAGGCAGACAAAAACAGTTTCCTTTTATAGGGGCTTTCAGGGAGACCCAGAGTGGGTATTTGTTTGCCCCAGAATTTGGGAGCAGGGGTCCTGTCAATGTGTGATGAGGCCCAGGGCCTTATCTGGACATGTACATGATCAGGTTTTTTCAAAGAATAGTCAGGCCTGGGGTAAGGCCTGGGAATAGCTGTGACACTCTGCCTTCCTTCCAGACCTTACAGGGTATGGGGAGCAGGGCCAGAGTTGTCTCTCGCTACTTCCAGCTGGAGGAGGGCAACTCTGGGGGAGTTGGAGTTGGTTTCCCTTAAGACCTGAAGGAAGAGCATTGGTTTCAAATGTTCCTGACTCTTGTTTGGGAGATGGCTGTGAGGTGTTCTACAAAATTCTGAGATTTCTAAAACAGGGAGGACAACTAGAAAGGGAATCAGGATGGAGAGTAGCCCAGGGGGACTTCCTAGTTGCTGCTCAGTTCCTGATCCTTTATTTAAGCCTTTAGCTTTGTCTTTTAATTTCTTTCTGCCTTCTCCAACTATTCCTGATTTATGGGTATAGAAACAGCAGCCTTCTTCTAGACACGGGCCAAGACCACCCTTAGTTAACAGATGAAGTCCTCTTCTGTTTTGTAATACACCTGCTGCGAGGAAGTCAGTTTGCCCTTGGACTGTAGTAAGCTGAGATGCAGCAGCATCTGGCGACTTGTGGAGAGCTTTGGAGAGATGTTGGGGTTTTCCTAGGGGAATGCCTGGGCCTGCAGTGCCACTGGCTACCCCTGTTATTATTCCCAGGCTGGCCACTTAGAAGAGGAGTCCTGTGAAGATCTGTTTGTGTTAAGGTTCCAGGCTAGGAGGATAGGTATTCATTTGGAGTTGCTTGTGAAGGCGGAAGTAGTGTGCATGTTCCTGTTTAATTGGTCTGAAGGAAGAAGTAGACGCTGTTTGTGCAGGCGAGGAAGAGTCTGTTCCCTGCTTTTCAGACACCCCCAGAAATCGACTCCAAAGAGATGTTGAACCTGGTCTGCGTTGACTCCCGGTTCGTATGACCCGAACAAAGGAGCTAAATACACCAGGGTTAGGGGTTGAAGAGATATATTTTTGGTGGAAGGGTTTGGTTTCTCTAAGGCCGGTCTTTTTGTTGGGTAATGTAGAAAGAGACAAGTAGGTGGGGCAGTTGGTAACAGCATGCAGTGCCAATTTTGATGTTGCAGGTCAAGGACTGCAGCCTTCAGTATGGATTGAGGCTCAGTGTCAAGAAGACAAAGATTCTCACCACTGGACCAATGGCAGCATCAGGATGGAGGGTGAAGAGATGAGATTGTTAACAGCTTTAGTCTGCTTGGCTCCATGGTCAACACTCGTGGCACCAGTTGTTGTTGTTGTTATGTGCCGTCGACTTGCTTGCGACTCATAGCGACCCTGTGTACAACAGCCCTAAACTCCGCTCTATCCTGTGCCAATCGTACTGTCTCTGACACTCCCATCCCAATTATCCCAGTCACTGAATCAATCCACCT